TTTTTGTAAGACCAGGTGTCGTAATTTTTGTAGATGAAGATGTTGGTTTGAGAGTTGTTGTAGCAGGTTCTGTCGTTGTTAGAGGCGGAGGAGGTCCTGTTAAACATAGCTGATAGTAAGTACTTCTGCTTTCAAGCAGTTCAGAAAGGCATAGTTAATCTGAAATACTATCAATTACTTGTAAACAAGCTGTAACCAAATATCATTCAATATTTCACAAAAGGATTTTAATTTCTATTCTGAAATTACTTTCATATTTGTACAATATAAATCAGCATTCATTTTATTAATAGTGTATTTATATTGAATGTATCTCATACTTACCACAACTGAATGTCCCATTTTTACAGGAGCTGTTTAAAACAAAAGAGTAAATAAGAATAACCAATTGTTAATAAAGCTTTACATGTAGTAAATTAAATATATACCAGTGTTTGTGTGTGTGTTTGTGTGTGTGTGTGTGTTGTGTTCAACTTACCACTGAAAAGAGTTTATCAACACCACTTCTCCTGGTTGAACAACAGTGTTATTGAAATAACAAGAGCAGCCCATAATTGTGGTGCATCCACCTACATTCTCATCATAGTATGGTCTCTCCTTTGGACATCTCGGGTAACAACCTGTTTTATTAAGAAATGTGTTCCTATATTATCAATTGTTTTTGTACACATTATTCAAATCAAACAATATTTAAAATCTTTAAAAGTTTGATTATTTAGTCATTGTTCAAAAATACAAGAATATTAAAAATTGATTTATGCCAAGCAACTACGGTGGCAGAAAATGTATGTGAACCATTGAAATTTTACACTATACCTTAAAACAACAAAGTAACAAAATAAAAGACTGCCAAGCATTATTTTGTCTTTGATAATTGAAATTTTCTATCTCTCAATTAGACTATTAGAACATTATTGAAAAATTAAAAAATTATAAAGTAGCATTTGGATATTCATTCAGATATTCATTTTGATTTAGTACCATGATTATGCTCCCAAGAGGTAAGCCTCCAGTTTTTATATCTGCTAAAATATATTGGAAATTCAGAGTGGATCTTTCAAATCCCACAATTCTAAAAGGTTTAAATAGTGTTTATTGTTGTTTAATGTATTTGAACATAACTGAGAAGTTTGCTTACCTTCAAGCTTGTGTCTAAGGATTCCTTTGCCACAGGTTCTCATCTTACCACAGGCGTCATAGTGCCAAATACTTTGGCCTGGTTTGTTGTAGTAATCACAGTAAATGGCTGAAGATTTAAGTTGAACAGTTTATTGAGAGAATAAGTGAACAATAATTATAGACTAAGTTATATTTTCTGTTTACAATTTCAATAATTATCTAATCTTGTATGAATCGGATTCTTCATTATATTCAGTGATTTTGTTTTTATTAAGTACATTGGCCACGCTGCCCTCCAGGTGTCATTAAGACCAAGTGTATTTAAAAATAAGAATAAATTGACTTAAAATATAACCATTGCAGATATAATGTAAACCAAGCGTGGAAAACAATTAGAATTAAAATTAAGCACATACATTGTAAGGTATGTGTCACAATAATCAACTCTTTAATCAGAAAGTTATGTCAAAAAAAACAAACTTCCCTGCCGATAGCTACAGAATTATATCTAGAAGAAGACTCCTAACTTACGACACAGGTCAGGTGTTCTCCACTTTACGCAGACATCCTGGCCACTGCAGGCCTCTGCATAAGCTGCCACAGCTGTGCAGTAGCCCAGGAACTTCCCTTCAAACTCACAGGAGCAGGACTCAAGTAAGCAAGCCTGATAGTAAGGATTTGGGTCCACCTGGGGATTTGAGAACATCCAGAATAGATGTTTTATTGGCATGTTTGAAAACTCTCTGCAAATGCTGATTACAACCAGTAGTTGTGAGGTAGAATATTGCACTAGAACTGGATAAAAATATTTGTGACAATTCACGTGGTTTATTTTCCTTAGCGGTTAATGGTATGTAGAACATGTAAACCACATACTTTCAGATGACAGTCTTTGAAAGTGTCTCCTTTAATAATCATACAGCGCCGCTGGGCCCAGGCTGAGCAGTAGGAGTTGCGATCACATGGAAATATATCAGCAGTTACATCAGAACAAGGAGGAGTGGCTGCCTTCCAGCTGTTTCCAAAGGCCATCGGACTGGATCCCACTGAAAACAGATTTAGGTTTGTTACATACCATGACTATCTAGTATCAACGTATTATAAATGAGAGAGAAAGCTAATTCACCTGTTGAGCCTCTTATCTGTAGGTCGTTCATCTCATTGGAGTCAAAATTCCCACAAAGTCCACACACTTTATTCTGCAGGTAAGAGTTTTTAAGTATTCAGTAATGAGATGTAAGTATGTATTTTATGATACAATTTGATATTGTAGAAAACATGCATGTCAAAATTCTGATATTGCCAAATGCACTACACAGGCAAATATTTTTAAAATCAAGGAACAAAATAAGATTCCCATTCCTCACCCTCCAGTTTTCATGCAGCTTTATGGTGAGCCGTGTGTGTTTGTCCCAGATGAGAGTGATCCCGCTGCTCGGCACTGACACTATGATATAGAGTCCCACAGTGTCGATACTGTAAAGTGAATCTTCCTGCAGAGTCCAGCCTTGCTGCAGACGTTTAGTCACCTTCATGTCACTCAGAGTCAGGGTTACTTTGCCCTTGATGGAGCAAGTAGAAGAGTTACAATTCATAGTATTTCATTATTTAAAATTGTCATTAGCAATTTCATGAAACGAAATGAATGATAGAATTAACATCTTCATGTATTAATGACTCTTCTTCAATTCAGTCTCATTCCCATCAGACAGAATGTGCAATGAAACTTAACATTGCAAATGAGTGCGTTGATTACAAATAATTAAAAATAGAGTTTATCAAATCAATCAAAGGAGAGAGTACTTTCAAATCAATAACCTGACAAATTTATCACAGTAATTGTCACAAACCTGCAAGTCCAGGACAATGACGCGAGAGCAGGTCAGCACCTCTTCACAGCAGGGTACACTCTCCACTCTGACAGAAAATGTGCCCTTTCTATTTCCACAGTAATCCTGAAGTAAAATAAATCAATATAAAAGCAGAGTTACACTGAATAATGCTTTTATGCGAAATGCATTTGGTTAATGTGCGATCTCAGGGAGAGTTCTGTAAGGTACGATAATGGTAGTTTAAATGGAACATGTAAGAAATAGAATAAATGAAAGAAACACACATTTTTTACTTTAATTATATTAAATTCTAATCATGAAAAGTTTACATGTTTGAATTCAAACATCCAAACCAGGGTTTGAGTTGGTGTAATTCCCTGACATCTGGTAAAGTTGATCAGATTTTAAATGCTTATTTGGCCCATAGAATGAATAGAATGTCATGTAAACTACGTTGCAATGTGTTGTCTCACCTCTACAAGTGTGTACTGACAGTGTCCACTGAAGCGATACCATTTAGAGTCAAAGGTCTGATAATGTCCATTTCCATAGACTTGACATGTCCCGGGACACGGTTCATTTTTGCAGCGCCACTGACCCTGACCACAGACACTGTAAGACAGGTAACCATAAGAGTTTAAGGATGAACTAAATGTTGTCAGTTAAATAGTAAAGTGCCACTTATGAGTGTGTTACCATTTTTTACAGTTGGATTTTACAGTCTCTCCTGCCCTGAAGACTTTACCACTGTACACACAGGTGCAGTTGTTCCTTGATACACAGTTTCCATAGTGATCTTCATACTGATTACGTGGGCAGTAACAGCCACTCTCACAATCCTTTTTGGCAAACTGAAAATCACATGCAATAATCTTTGACTCATTAAAACCCAATAATTTCAACCAATAAACACTTTCTTAACATAGATAAGCAGATAATGATGTCTACATATGAACATGTGTTGACTCACAAGTGGTTTGCTGAGGCTGCCACAAGTTTTCTGAGCTGTCTTAATCGGGTTTTCTGAGCAGTGCACACAAACTTTGCCTTTCTTGCAGCCTGATAAAATCATTATTAAAATTATTAAGACAAAATTACAACAATGTAACAATTTTTCATTTTAATTCCTAGATCCACCATCTAGCAAATCATCAAATTTAATAACTTTAAACTTTACGGAGGTTGTAATTTTTCCTTTTTTTGATACATTTGTAATGCTGTTTTCATTAAAATGCAACATACAATCATTTTGTATGATTGGGTTTGTGGTGTTGTTAAATTATACACAATCACGTCATCTTTTTAAAGAAAAATATACACATAACACTTATAATCCCTAAAAATAAATAAATTAGGTTTAAAGGGTGTAGCAAGCAGGATGGTTTTAGGATGGTTAAAATAGAAAAATATAGACTCACCACAATCCTTAGAACATTTCAGTTTTCCATTTTTACAGAGGCTGAAACAGACAAAATATTTGTAAAGAAAAATGTATATTAATTTAATGTAAATGACATCATAGACATCACATCAACATAGTAAAATATTCAAATGTGCAGCTCACCACTGTCGCCCATCTATAGCAACTGGACCTGGAGGTGTTATACCACCCGTGTGGTGGCATACACACTCTGACTTTGGGGTGCAGGTGTTTTCTTGATTCAGATATGTTCCTTTGGGGCAGCCACATCCCTCCACGGGAAAATCATCCACTTTACAGCAAAAACCACGGCCAGACAGGGAGCGGCATGTACTGTTGCAAGCACGTAAGTTGTAGGAGAATTCTTGGTTCTTTGGACATGTCAGAGCTGTGACACGACATTGGGGATAGCAGTGTTATCAGGTATCTAAATGAATGTCTTAATCTTGTCTCTTTTTAAGAAAAGGTCTAAACTAAAATGTTTGAAGATATTAAAAGAATAAGTGAACATGTTTATGTAGTATATGAACCCTTACTGCATTTGGTAGTCTTCCTCCAGTTACCAACAAAAAACCCCAGACTTGCACAAGCTTTTGCGTAGCTGGCTAAAGCAATGCACAAGCACCTCTGCACATTGCTGCCACAATTACAGGTTCTTTGAATACAGGCCTGCCAACAAAAGTCATCTTAACATTAATAAGTCAAATAAACTTATGGAAACATGCTTATAACTCAATAGTTATGCTTACTGTGTGGTACTGATCAGGTGGTAAGTGGCGATGGCACTTAGCAAATATTCCAGTTGGGTCAGTCAGCACAGAGCACTTTTCGTCAGCAAATATTTCTGAAAGAACAAAACAAACGATTTATATTGTCTCGATCTATCTATGAAATCAAGGGTCAACGTCATGATCCAGCCAGATGTCAAGGTGAATTTATAATTCAGTATTATCCTATCTCTGTACTGCAGTCTTTTCAGTTTTTGTCATAGTTAAAATAGAAAGTGGTACCATTGTGAGTGTTGATGCAGGTGCTGGGTATGTTCACTGCACAAGCGCCCAGACTCCAGGACAGAGCAAAAGGCTGAGCCGAATTCTCAATGATCCCACCGCTGCTGGTGAAGTCATCTGTGCTGTCACTGTTGTCGTTGCCACAAAGACCTGAACGACAGACTGACTGGTAAAAGCGGAACATGCCAGCAACGATAGTGTTAAATGGATTTTGGGCATTTTGTTTCTAACCTGAAATGATGTCTTTGTGTTTTGTAGGAGCAGCGATGTAGAGCTGGATTTCAGGTGACATCTGGACTTGGATCTTAATATCTGACAATGTTACGACTAGTACATACATGGAGGACTGCCAAAACACCTCTGCATAATCTGAAAGTGATAAGTAAGAGCCTTCGTAATTGAGTTAACAAATGGCTTATGGAATGTATGAATTACAAGGTTTCTATTTACCAGTCTTCTGAGATTCTGTAATTTCTTGGTCTCCAAATGTAACCACACCGTCTTTGAATGTATACTTTTCCTGAAAATAAAAAAGGGGCATTTATAGTTAAGTTTTCACATCTTTTATGTTATTTAAATGTCAAGTTGTTTTGAAATCATTGATCAAAGACAAGCTGTACCTGATAACCCTGGAGAACAATGTTTTTCAATGATGCATCCTTTTCAGAAAACTGAATAACTACTGTCCAGTTGAAACCCTGCATGTTGCAATAAATAAATTACACAGCAGTCAGTATTGCACAACAGGCAAAGTAAGGTATATGTTGCATAATATGGAGGAGGGCAAATTACCTGAAATGCTAAGTATGTACATTTACCAGGCACAACATATTGCTTGCCATCAAATGTTGTCACAAACTGGCCTTCAATTAAACATTTTGATGGACAGAAGTTCTCAGAGCAACGCCACCGTCCACCTTCACACAAGCTAGGGATAGGTTTAAAGAAAAAATGAAATCTTGTGATGCACAATGGAAACTATGAAACCACGCACACTATATATAGAAATACTTACCATGACTGACATTTGGTGCTACGTGTTTCTCCGGTTGAATAGGTTTTCCCAGCAAATACACAGGGGCATTGGGACAGACTCACACAGCGGTAGCCATCCAAGTGATTGTTAAGTACCTTGCCTACATGCACGTTAAGTATAGCCTTAATATGCAGGTAAATTATAAAGCCACATAAATTAATTCTCCTATTCAGTGCTCACCCTCTGGGCAGACACAGGAGCCGGTGATATCCTGGCTGGTCAGTTGGGATTTAGGGTTGGAGCAGCTGGGTAGAAAGGCAGTACCTTCTTCGTTATAAACCAAGTCTCCAGGGCAAGTTGGCTTAGCTGCAGGCAGCCACAAAGACAAACAATTACATCTACTCATAACTGAAGGAAATATAAGCTGAGTCAAGGTAATTCACTTTTTAAAGAAGAATTTATTTTTAATAGCTGATCTGATAATGAAAAAAATACAAAAATCACCTACCACATTTGGTTACGGTTGTCCATTTGCTCCAAAAATCATTTGTTTTCCCACAAAGTGAAGCAATCTCTTTGAAGAAAGAACAACGGACGTGTTCATTTTTTTCATAGCTGTAAAGGCTCTTGTAGCAGAGCTGAAGGTAACGAGGCCATCTTGATTGCAGGGAGTCTTTGATGTTGGAAAATATTTCATTGCATACCTGCAAATATCATCAGAGCAACCATCTGAGCATATGCACCAGTTGAAGCATACAATGATTAAACACGGTCAGGAGTGTCAACTGATTTATTTCTTCTGCTTTTTTTCCAGGTTTAGCAGGTGACAAAAATGCAAAGCAGCAGAACTTACTGAATTAGGAGCTGGGATCGAATCTTTGGTTTGACACGTGTCGTCAGGGAGCACGCTCTCTCTGATCAACTCCTGCTCATCACCTTAATTCACAAAAAGATACATTCTTAATCAAGCAGATGTGCAAATAAACCATCTGTTACTGATACCAATTATTTATACTATCCATAATGCTTTTGTAAACATCACAGCTTCCTTTAGCCTTATTTAAATTACAAAAAAACCCATCTATTTACCAGTTACATTGTATTTTCCACACAGTCCACTCATGTCGGTGCTCAGCTCTTGCTCCAGCTCAACCTGAAGAGGAGATCATTGAGCAACTTTAGGTGTAATAAAGATTTTTATTGTTTAAATCCATGTACCTGCATTTAGGATTTCTCCTGCAGTAATATGAATGCTCTCACCCAAAGAGTGTCTATTCCTCCAGGTACGCTGCGCCAGGTTATGGAAAGAGGCAGCAATGAGCTCCTCAGTTTAGTGTAGATGCCGTACCGAAAAATATGCTGGTAGGTCTGATCGTATGGAAGGGAGACACTGTAAAGATACAGGGGCATCAATTTTGCAGCCTGTGAAAATTCAGCCATCACATTTGCCACCTTTATTCCTTCGGACATAAAAATCAGTTGGATACTTTTATCATGAGGGAAAAAAACCTGAGAGGTTCGTCCAAGAAAACATATTCTTGTCTCAGACAGCAGATAAGAAACAATGCAAAAAGCAGATAATAACAGCTTTAAACTGAGGTTTAACACTCACACTTGCAGATGATTATATTTAAATGGACACAAAATCATATTATGAATGAACACATCAGGCATGAGTTCTTTTTTTGCCTTCTGTGTAGCCACGATTTCTCACACACACACAATGTCTAGATCCGGGTCCAAACCTTTTGTTCTCAACCAGGATGCTTCCATTCTGCAGAATAGTCGTGACTTTGTTGATGATGATCTCGACTTGCACCACCAGGCCGTCGTTCCCTCGACGTATAGAGATGTCACATTCAACTCGATTCTGGGTGAACCGAGTCAGGGTGAAGGGACAATTGGAATGCACATAGAATCCTGAACCTTGGAAAGGTTTGACGACTCCACTGCTGTATGTCCTGCAAATGTCTGATCACAAGAAAGGTGTGAATTTACTGAAGCTCAATAATAAAGCAATAAATCACTTCACTCATTTTATTATGCCAAAAAATATGAATTTAAAAAGTAGCACCACTGTTATGCTTGACAAAATTGTGATTTGCAATACTACCCTACCTACAAATACTGACATTCTTCAGAGATTACCACCTCTGCAATTTCTCTGCACTAGAAAACCCAACCGTGTTTCCTTTTTTATCATATAGTATATTAGAGGATGTCACAAACATCATCATCACCTAACTATGTCAGTAGTTTGCATCAATTAAAAAGCTATAGATTAATCAAGATCTAGCACTTGTATACAAATTTTGCATGCTTACATTTCTGAGTTTCACGTGTCACAGAGCCACTGGTCCCCAAAACCAATGAAACTACGGAAAGGCAGAGAGCCAGCAACCATCTCTGTAAGGTCATGCTTGCTGCCTGTTGCTCCCAAGCTGCAGGTGCAACCAGGAAGGCATGCACAGTCAGCCTGGGACAGGGCTTATATATGCTGTGTCTACACTCATACACTGCCTGAGGGACCACACACTCACTATAATACACTCACACGTTTCCATCACTCAAGGGCACGTTACTTTGACTTAGAATCATTTCCTGGAGATCGCAGCTGACCTTAATCGTAAGTATTAATTGCTCTACTCTCCATGTGCTGTTTTCAAAATGTAATACATAAAATAAAATGTAATGATTTATTTAATTTACTTGTCCCCAAATCAATTTTGTAGATAGATTTGTCTTCCCTTAAAATTGGCAAAACTACCCACACAGCATTTTTTGATGAAAAAATATAGAACAATTAAATGCAATTAATAAAGAAAAAACAAATCTTTAAACAGTGGGAGAAAAAATTAAAACAGGGATCCTGGAAAGTGCGATTGTTTTCAAACTGTACACCTCATTTTTTGTTTGTTGTGAATATGGAGCAACCTAATTCTTTTTATACTGATTTCATTTGGAATAGTTCACACTCTCCATGTAAAAGTAACCACTGACTTTACACATAAACAGATGTATGTCTCCTCCAATCACTTCCTGTAACTGTAACCTCTTTTCACCTGGGCTACACCCTTGACCACGTCAAGAAAAGCCAAACTATCTTATTGTTCTCTCGCTTACCCTATTACGTCTTTTTCCCAGTGAAGACTCGCTGACCTCTGAGTTGAAGTTTCCTCTACTATGTTGTCTGCCTGGGGCAGGTGGAAGAAACTCTACCCACAGCAGCAAAGCAAGATTGCTTGATTTATAAGGACTGAGTGAGAAATCCCAAACCTATTGCTATAAATAACATCTGCTGTCATCAAGTAAACTACAGAATTGCCTTGCTAGCATTTATCCAGAGAACATGTTTGCACACTGTATGCAAGCTAGCTTTAGCAGAAATTGTCACAAGAAATTGTCACTGTTATGCTGCACCTTTGTTTTCTCCGTCGTGCATGAGACACTAGCATATATTTCTTACACCAAAGTATTAGTATAATAGCAACAATGTAAGTTAGCCATGAGAAAGCTAAGAAGAAATTCTGCATATCAAAGCTACAATTCAGCCGCTAACTGCTCCTGCTGTCCATTGCTCCCGCTATTGCCATAGTAAGCAATTTTCAGTTATATCCCTTTGCTGTGCAATTATATATAATTTAGTGTCAAGGGTTACATTTGCAAGTAAAGAAATTTGGCAGGTTAGCAAATTAATATTTATAGTCATTAGTGATTTTGCTAGCAATTATATTAGCGTTGAGTTAGCCAGCTTACTGCATGATGATAGCTGATAAAATGCAATGCACATAGAAAACAGGCATTCAAAAATGTGACGTTCCTGTCAGTTTTTTGTAGGTGAAATAATTTATTGGGTAATTAGTACTTGCTAACAAAATCCAGCAAATGTTAATGATCAGGTTTCACCAGTGCACGCAAACACTTTTCAAACACAATAGGAAGGTTGCACTTTCTTGATGGACAGTCATGGAGCTCAGCTAAAAGATACCAAACACCTGCAAAAACTGACACATTTATAGTCATCACTTTCAGTTAGGGAATTTACCTAAAGAAATTAGAGATTGGCAAAGCCTTTACTACACTCATTGCCCTGGGGCCTGTTGTTTCACAAGTCTAGCCTTGCATTGTCGTTGTGTATCTGAAATATGGATATTATTGTATTTCTTGCACATCCAAAAGTGAATGTTCTGACAAATACCCATAAGATGCACACTTGGTCTTATGCTAGATGTATGCATTTGTAAAATGGTGATTTTAAAGTCCTTGAATAAAAAAAGTAAAAGAAATGTGAAGTGTCCAAGGATTGATTTGTTTATTGTGACATTTAAACTGGACATGTACGTAAATGGTTGCAGCTATACTTCAGTAATCCTAACCCTTTCAACTAGACTACACCCCTACTTGGGTCAAGAACATTTCTAGCAGTTACTGCTTCCTTCTTTGAGAGTTGAGTACATCCACGTAGATTTGAGCATCCACGTAGACCCCCTTGACCTTTAGTTGAATACATTTAAATTAAAGATGTTATGTCCTTCTTTTACAAACTTTTAGAAAGTTTCGGCAATCTGACATTTGCTGAAAAATTGGTTGAGTCACTTTAAAATAAGTTGATGCATAAGATGTCTTGAATACCTAGTAATTACATCAAAAATGATACCAAAATTTCCTCAAAACTGTGTGTGTGTGTGTGTGTGTGTGTGTGTGTGTGTGTGTAAAGTAAATTAAGTACTGTAATCATACTGTCTCACAAAAGAATATTTCATCAACATTTTTACTTTTTCCAAGAGTTTTATTCATGTTGCTTAAAATTAAAACAAACAGGAAGAACCAAAGAAGTAAATTGAGTTTATTGATTCTTATTATGTTTTATTTTTTAGATGGGGGAGGGGTGCTGCCTTATGTGTAACATGCTGGATAATCAATAAATAATAATGACAGCAACATTATTATTATTATTATTATTATTATTATTATTATTATTATTATTATTATTATTATTATTGATAATGAGACATTGAAAAAATAACAGTAATACGACATCCACTATCACTACTACTAATACTGTTTCTACTAGTGCTGATAGTAATAAAGAAATAAATAGTGATAAATAATGATGACTGCTAGGGTTGGAATTTGGAAAAAAAATATAACTCTAGACACTAGGTAAGGCAAAGAGTGATACCAATTGGGTATACGATTGGGTTTTGGAGTATAATACCTATCCTATTATAAATAAATCCATATAGATAATATAAATAAGTAGAAAGCAATGACAACACTGAAAGGAGTACATGTATATGTATGTTATTTATATGTATCCTTAAATCATATTGGAATATAAAATGAGTGGTGTAATACATATTTATTTTGAAGTTTTTTTGTATATGCAACTCCTTATTATGTTATTCCCTTTGTGTTTCCTGGACTGTCCATAGTTTCCATTGGCTGTTTCTCTTGTTAGCTACAAAAATGCAAGTAAAAAGTAGATTTGTTTTTACAAAAAAATGTTTTTTAGTTGTTGTTGTTTTGCTGTTTTATCAGACATGGAGAAAATACGACTAAGTACAACTTTTCTAATGAGTAACTGTAAGTGGAGTTGCTGTTCATTAATTCAATACTACCCCTAAGAATCTGCATAATTTGCAAACACTGAATAGCGTGCCTGATCTCACACTTGCAAAAGAAGAGCAATGTGAGTATGATGCATGTCTGCATTATATTCACAAACAATCCAAAAATCAATCTGATGATGTTTGTGGCACCCCAGATATATTGTATTAAATGCCCAATGAAACACCCATCATTCTGGTGATCACCAAACCTTTTAAGATAAGATAAGATAAGATAACCTTTATTAGTCCCACGCTTGGGGAATTTGTTTTGTTACAGCAGTGGACAGTGCAAAGTTGCATAGAAAAATTAGAGAAAAACACTGGAATAAGATATCAATAATTCTTATTCTAATTCTAATAATTCTCCACAATATTTCTTGTGTGCGTGTTACTTTTTCTGGCTTAAACAGCTTTTCTGTGCATGGAAAAGTATAAGGACCAGACTCGCACAGAATTTGCACTAAACTAGCATCAGACTAAGTTGCCACATCTGATCTATTACATGGAAATATTGTGAACCTAAAAGCATTTATTTTTCTAATTTACTGAACACATTTATGTTCCATGAGTTGGCATCCTAATGCATAATTTCTAGGAAATTTCTGACCAGATTTTAATCCTCATAGGAAGAGAAACATTTGCCTATTTGAAATTTTAGCTTAAATAAATCCATACAATGCATAAGTGCTGTTGTGTGGATTATGGCGTGATATGCATGCCCTCTGCTGGCTGTCTCTTGTAGTGTAAAGGCCATCAAATTGTCTCCTCCTGCAGATGAATACCGTTTCTCTGGTATTTTTAAAGTACAGATATATA